ATTGGACCCAGGATAGGGGAAGACACAGGGAAACCCACTGTCCCCAAAAGACTAGAGAGACAGACTGGCAAATACTGAGAGCCACAAGTTACTGTAGAGCATGCAGTCACAAATAGAAACCCCCACAGGAAGCAGTGCCTTGGTAGAAAAACCTGAGCTGTAATTGATGAATTATAGGAGGTTCAGTATGAACAACTCTAAAAGTTTAAAACTCCAGGGGGACCCACTCATGGGGAAACCCTACTATTTTGTTAGACTTACCTACATGAGCTAAATTAGATTCTCCAAGTAAATATTGCAGAAAAATCCCTATGTGCTTCTGGCAGGGGGAGGATGAAATGAACCATTTTCAAATATGCCAGAGCACTGTGCTCTTCTTAACAAGGTCTGCCCCCAGGAGAAATTAGTTAGCTAAATCCTGACCTGCTGGGGTATTATTAGAGCCTGACCCAAGGGAAGGGAAATACCTAACTCTTGTCAGCTCTAACCTTCTGCATCAGAGAAGGGAAATACTAAACTCCAGACAACTCTAGCCATCCTGTCCTGCCAAAGAGGGGAGAAGAATACTGAGGAAACACTTAGAAGTTTGTAGACCAGAGGCATATGCTTACTAAAAGACTGAGACTTAATCATAGGATGATAGAATGTCTCTCCTCCCCTTTCCCCCACCTAACTACTGCATTACTAAAACCTGATTTACAGAAGTTCCTTTTACCTGGTACATCATGTCCAACTATCAAGAAGAAATTACTAGGCATACCAAAAGGCAAAAAAAAAAAAAAAAAGAAAAGAAAAGAAAAACAATCTGAGGAGAATAGAGCAAGCTTCAGACCCAGACAGGTAGCGATTCTGGAATTATCAGATGAGGAATTTAAATCCACTATGATTAATATACTAATGCCTATAACAGATAAAGAAGGCATCATTCAAGAATAGGTAGACAATGTAAGAAGAGAGATGGAAATCCTAAGGAAAAAGCAAAGAGAAATACTAGAGAGTAAAAACACTATAAAATAAAGAATGCCTTTGATGGGCTTATCAGTAGATTGAAAGTGGCTGAAGAAAAAGTCTCTGAGCCTAAGAATATCTCAACATAAACCTCCAAAACTGAAAAGCAAAGAAAAAGGCTGAGAAAAGAAAAAAAAAAAAAAAAAAGAATAAGGACTGCAGGACAACTACAAAAGGTGAAACATATGCATAAGGGGAATACTAGATGGAAAAGAAAGAGAGAAAGAAACATTTCAAACAATAATGACAGAGACGTTTCTTAAATTAATGTCAGACATCAAACTTCAGATCCAGGAGACTCAGAAAGAAAATAATAGGGGCTTGAAACTCTGATCTCCATAAAGAAAAGAAGAGCATCAAAGAGGAAATAAAGATAAAACAAAAATGTTTATTTTTCTTATTCTTAATTTATCTAACTGATAAGTTTGTTCAAAATAATAATAGCAACAGTGCTTTCGATTATGTATGTTTATATGCTATATGTATGTTTACATATAAGTGAAATGAATGCAACACCACAAAGAGCAGGAGGGAAGACTTAGGATTATTTTGTTTTTGTAAGATATACTACTTGTAAAGTGGTGTAATGTTGTTTAAAAGTGAACTTGGACTAGTTGTAAATGGATGTTGCAAACCCTAGGGCAATCACTGGAAGTTTTTTTTTTTTTTTTAAGTAAAACTGACATGCTAAGAAAGGAGAAAAAATTGAATCATATAAAATGCTCAGTTAAAACCACAAAAGGCAGAAAATATGTGGAAGATGAAAATAGGAATAAGAACAACAGAGAAAATAATGACAAATATAGTTGATATTAATTTAACTACCAATAATCACTTTAAACATCAGTGGTCTAAATGCACCAAATAGACCTGGCGTGGTGGCTCACACCTATAATCCCAGCACTTTGGGAGGCTGAGGCAGGAAGATCACTTGGGCCCAGGAGTTCAGGACCAGCCTGTGCAACATAGGGAGAGAGACCATCTCTACAAAAAATTTGAGGCCGGGCGCGGTGGCTCAAGCCTGTAATCCCAGCACTTTGGGAGGCCGAGACGGGCGGATCACGAGTTCAGGAGATCGAGACCATCCTGGCTAACACGGTGAAACCCCGTCTCTACTAAAATACAAAAAAATTTAGCCGGGCGAGGTGGCGGGCGCCTGTAGTCCCAGCTACTCGGTAGGCTGAGGCAGGAGAATGGCGTGAACCCGGGAGGCGGGGCTTGCAGTGAGCTGAGATCTGGCCACTGCACTCCAGCCTGGGCAACAGAGCCTGACTCCGTCTCAAAAAAAAAAAAAAAAAAAAATTGAAAAATTAGCCAGGCATGGTGGTACGTGCCTGTAGTCCCAGCTACTCAGAAGGCTGAGGTGGGAGGATCTCCTCGAGCCTGGGAGGTCAAGGCTGCAGTGACAGAGTGAGATGCTGTCTCAAAAAAAAAAAAAAAGAAAAAAAGAAAAGCACTAATTAAAAGATTGTTAGAGTGGATCAAAAAACAAGACTCAACTATATGTTGTTTAGAAGAAGCCCACTTTAAATATAAAGATACATGTAGATGAAAAGTAAATGGATGGAGAAAAATATACCAAGCTAACACTAATCAAAAGAAAACAGGAGTAGCTACATTTCAGACAAGGCAGACTTTCAAAGCAAAGAAAGTTATCCAGGATAAAAAAGGTCATTACATAATGATAAAGAGGTCAGTCCTCCAAGAAGACATAACAGTCCTTTACATGCATGTGCCTAGCAGCAAAGCATAAAACTATGTGAGGCAAAAACTGATAGAACTACGAGCATAAATATATGCATCCACTATCATAGTTGGAGATTTTAACACCCCTTTATCAGAAATGGACAGATCCAGCAGGCAGTAAATGGGTAAAGACATAGTTGAATCCAAATCAACTTGTATAATTGACATCTATAGACTACTTCATCCAACAAGAGCAGAATACACATTCTTCTCAAGATCACATGGAACATTCACCAAGATAGACCACATTATGGTCCGTAAAGCACACATTAACAAATTTAGAATAGAAATTATATAATGCCTGCTCTCAGACCACAGTGGAATTTAGAAACCAATAAAGAAAAGATAACTGGAAAGTCCCAAAATACATGGAGATTAAACATGGATTAGAAAAGAAATTTCAAGATAAATTAAGAAATAATTTTGAACTAAATGAAAATGAAAACAGAACTTATCAAAATTTATGAGATGCTGCAATGAGCCAGGACCATGCCATAAAATAAAATTAATATATCAGAGATGTATGTACTCCATGTCCATTGGAACACCCTTCACAATAGCAAAGTTAACAGAATCAACCTAAGTGTCCATCAGCAGATGAATGGATAAAGAAAATGTGTGTGTACGCAATGGAATACTTCTCAGCCTTAAAAAGAAGTTTTTCATGTGCAACAATGTAGATGGAGCTGGAGAATATTATGTTAAGTGAAATAAACCAGACACAGGAAGACAAATACCACATGTCCTCACTTATATGTGGAATCTGAAACAATAGAACTTACAGAGCAGGGAGTGGAATGGTGGTTACTAGAGTCTGGGGTGGTGGGCAGTGGGAGAAGGAGGAGAGGATGGTCAGAGGGTACAAAGCCTCAATTAGGAGGAATACAGTTTTTTCCTTTGGGATATATTGCACAGCATAGTAAGTATAGCAAAAACAGTCTTTATAACAAATGATACTGGAACAACTGAACATCCACGTGTAAGAAAATGAATCTAGACATAGACCTTATACTTATCACAAAAACTAACTCAAAATGGGTTATAGATCTAAATATGAAACAACTATAAAATGACTAGAAGATAACATAGGAGAAAACCTAGATGACCTTGGATATGATGATGACTTTTTAGATACAAACCAAAGGTACAGTCAATGAAAGAAATAACAGATAAGCTGAACTTCATTAAAATTAAAAGCTTCTACAGAAAGCAGGGTCAAGAGAATAAAAAGATAAGTCATAGACTGAGAGAAAATATTTGAAAAGACACATCTGATAAAAGACAAATCCAAAATGTACAAGGAACTCAGAAAACTCAAAATAAGAAAAATATAAAACCTATTTAAAAATGGGTCAAAAACCTTAACAGACACCTCACCAAAGAAGATATACAGATGACAAATAAACATGAGAAGATGCTCCACATCATATGGCATCAAGGAAATGTAAATTAAAAAGACAATGAGATAACACCATACCTGTTAGAATGGCCAAAATTCAGAACACTGACAATAAATACTGAAAAGGATATAGAAACAGCAGGATATGGAGCACCTCTCATTCATTACTGGTGGGAATCAAATAGTCCAACCACCTGGAAGACAATTTAGTGATTTCATACAAAACTAAATATATCCTTACCATGTGTTCCAGCAATTGTGCTCTTAGATATCTACCCAAAGAAGTTGAAAACTTAGTGCACACGGACATTTATAGCAGCTTTATTCATAATTGCCAAAACTTACAGGCAACCAGTATTTCCTTCAGTAGGTGAATGAATAAATACACTATGGTACATTCAGATGATAGAATATTTTTTAGCATTAAAAAGAAATGAGGGGACCTGGACATGGTGGGTCACGTGTGTAATCCCAGCACTTTGGGAGGCCAAGGCAGAAGGATCATTTGATCCCAGGAGTTCAAGACCAGCCTGGGCAACATAGGGAGACCCTGTCTCTATAAAAATATAAAAAATGAACCAGGCATGGTGGGGCACACCTGTAGTCCCAGTTACTTGGGAGGCCGAGGTGGAAGGATCACTTGCACTCAGGATGTCAAGTCTGCAGTGAGCTGTGATTTTGCCTCGTTATGGGCTGAGAGGGTGGTGAGTGGTGGTTCTTCTCAGTCTGAACAGATCTCTAGTCATCCTAAAACCCAGTCATTTGTCATTACTGTACAGAAGAAACAATAAGTAATGGACCTATCCCTTAAGAAAACCCCTCATCAAAGTATGCTTCTTTATTGTAGGTAATTCGCGCCTTTCTGCTGTTTCCAACAATTGAACGAATGTCTGAGTCACCCAATGGCAGAATTGCCACTCCACTTTTGTGCTGGTTTCGATATGTTCTCTATGTTACTGGCTACTTATTATTGAAACCGTGTCCTGAGAAAATCAAGTCCTTGCTAATCAGAAGGTGCCTTCAATTAATGAACCTGGAGAATGAATTTTCGCCATTGAATGTATTAGAACCATTCTGCCTTGGTAAGCACAGATTTTAAAATGTATATGTTTATTCTTGTATCGCAAAGTGTTTACACAATACTCTTTGACAGTGGACAAATATCAAGCAAGCAATTATTTACTAGTTTTTTATTTTTCTCTTCCAAAAGTTTAAAACTAGAAATAAATAAAATTAGAAATAGAATGAGGGAATTTTTACATGAGAAATTAGACGGAAAAGCCTCATCAAGTTTTAATTTTATCTTACGTTTCCGATTCTTCACTCTAGCTGCAGGATGGTGAGAAACACTTCTTCTGCACATAGTACATAGTATATACGGAGTCCCTACAGGAATCCTGGGTATGCCTGTTAGCTCAGTGGGAGTACTTTACAAAAAAACAGCAGAAGGACACAAAGCCTAATACTCTTGTAGAGTTAACAGGTTGTTTTTATTTTCCTTCTTTAAATGTTTTGGGAGAATTTAAATCATAGAAGTAATAAATAGTTGTCATGGTAATGTATTTTAATACTGGGTGCTTTGCTAATTGTATTTTATGAATATGCTAGGAAATGTTTTTGTGACTTTACTTTTTGGCTTCAAAAGTTGTTTTAAAATGTAATTTATCGTTTTAGATCATACTATTTTATACTATATTTATAAATGACTTTCATAATAAAGTAATCCTAGTTTCTTAATCTATAAGGTGGGGATAACAATACCCCATACTTCAAATGTTATTCTAGTGTTAGATGTGATAAAATATGCAAAGCTTCTATCTGGTATTTTATTTATAACAGACCTCCAATGAATGATGTAACAATTAGTTGCAGCAGTAGCTAATGGCACTTTCTAAGCTTTTACCTGTGATCCTCAAAAGAACTAATAAGGTTTAGTATTGCTATTGTCCCCCTTTTAAATGAAGCAACTGAGGTACAAAGAGGTTACATGATTGCCCAGAGTTATACAACTAGTATGTAGTGTTGAAGCCCAGGCATTCTGCTGCTGTATTGCATTTCCTTTCACCATAGCTGCTGCTGTTGCCCTAGTTAATGATAACAGCAGGACTCCTGAATAAAGTTTTCCATGCTCAGCTGTATTAAGAATGCCATAAGGTCACATGCGTAATGAACTAGAAACAAGTTAACAGCCCTGCCTGTTCAATTGTACAGCTGCAGTTCATATGGGAGGTATTTTTCTAAATATGTAACAAGAAGCAGTCCTCACAAATACAAAATTCAGTATATTTATCCTATTGATAGATTTTTTCCCCCTTCCATTTTCCCCCCAATTTCCATTCTTTAATATAGCCTTAGCATAGTGGTTAAAAAAGATGAGATAGGAAGAGGCGAAGCAAGGGCTAAGGACAGTCGTGGAAATTGCCAGAGGTTGAAGTTGGAAATATCCCTTAAAGACCATTTGGTCCAACTCTTCATCTGTCCACCATATTGTTACAGAAAAGGAGTCCCGATCCACACCCTGAGAGAGGGTTCTTGGATCTCGTGCAAAAAAGAATTCAGGGTGAGTCTGCAGTGCAAAGCAAAAGCAAGTTTATTAAGTGAGTAAAGTGGTGAAAGAATAGCTCCTCCATAGACAGAGTAGGATATTCCTGAAAATAAGAGGAGGGATGTACCCACCCCAGGTACAATGCTTGTATATATAGGGAGATATGTTCTGCTACAAGTTTGTGATAAAGGATTAATTTTCTTAATTACTATATTTTGCAAGATTCGATATTATTATTATTATTATTATTATTTTGAGATGGAGTCTCACTCTGTCACCCAGGCTGGAGTGCAGTGGCACGATCTCGGCTTACTGCAACCTCCGCTTCCCAGGTTCAAGTGATTCTCCTGCCTCAGCCTCCCGAGTAGCTAGGACTACAGGCAAGCACTACTGTGCCCAGCTAATTTTTGTATTTTTTTTAGAGACAGAGTTTCACCATGCTGGCCAGCCTGGTCTCAATCTCCTGACCTCATGATCCACCCATCTCAGCCTCCCAAAGTGCTGGGATTACAGGCGTGAGCCACCGCACCCAGCCCAAGAATCGATATTACTATCTTTGAAGCAAAATTAGGAATGCCTTTGTTCTCCAGATATCAGGATATCTGGACACTCCCAAGTCTGAGTCTGTTTTAGTAAACATTATTAATTTGTTCCCTTAACTTTAAACATCTAGAGGCTCGGAATGCCTTACTTTCTGAGAATACAGTCCAGCAAGTTTCAGCCTCATTTTCCTAGCCCACACTCAAAATGAAGTCTCTCTGGTTCAAATGCCTCTGACAATATTATGGAACAGATGCCTACTGGTGAAAATGATACAGACAGGAAGTCAGAAACCCTCAACTCTCATTTTGGTTCTGTCCTAGAGTCACTCTGTGGCTTCCATTTAGTTACTTCCCCTCATTGATTTTCAAATGTTGATTAAATCAAGAGTTAGGCCGGGCGCGGTGGCTCACGCCTGTAATCCCAGCACTTTGGGAGGCCGAGACAGGCGGATCACGAGGTCAGGAGATCGAGACCATCCTGGCTAACACGGTGAAACCCCGTCTCTACTAAAAAAAATACAAAAAACTAGCCGGGCGATGGGGCGGGCGCCTGTAGCTCCATCTCAAAAAAAAAAAAAAAAGAGTTAGAGCCAGTCTACCTTTGGAAATTACTTGAGACCCAGTGGAATCAGCATTTGAAATTCTGGCAAATATATGTAAAATTCTCCACATATACTTTGATAAGATCATTTTACTTCTCTTTACAGGTTTGTTTGTCCCTCCTAGCCCCTTGTTGCTCTTTGTCATTTTCTTTTTGCCTTGTAGAATGGATTTTATAAAGCATTCTTCAGTTACGGATTCCATTTTCCTCCTGGGATTTCTGCTTCCAGGAAGATAGGGTAAATGGACTTTCTACTATTTCTCCTGCTAAGTACAAAAAACCCTGGATATTATCTATTAAACAACATTAAGAAGACTATACAAAGTAGAGAATAGAAAGCAGGCTATGTAGGGACTTTGGGACCCAAGCAACAAACACAGTGGTGAGTTCTGTAGGTTTTCTTTTTATCACATATATCCTAGGTGTGGAATCAGCAACCCAGAAACACCAAAGAGTAGAGACTTTTAAAGGCCCCAACAAAAGCCTACTCTCTCTAGCCCAAAGACCGGGAAAGGAGCAATGTTTCATAGAGCAGGAAAAAACAGTCTTCTCCCTACCTTGTATAGTTCTTACTTGGAGCAGATCTTTGTTACAAAAGACAGATTAACAAGAAAAATATATAAATTTATTAACATTATATTTCATATGTACATGGGAGATACCCAGAGAAATGAATAAATCTCAAAGAGGTGGCTTCTGAGTTCAGACTTAAATACTAAATACTTCAACTAAAACAAAGAAAAGAAGTCAGCAATGGGAGGTAACCAAGAAAAGCACTGTACACAAGATAAAAGTTTCTTATGCAGATTTAGGTTGGTGCCCTTTGCATTGATAATAGAGTCCCTGGTGATTTAGAGTCATCCTTCATGGTACAGAGAGGAAAACACCGATTCGAATGGAAATGTCCTTTATAGATGTGAATTTCCCTTTAAAAAGGGAACTTCTCCATTTTTAGAGCTTCTCCTGTGTCTCCAGTTTCTCAAAATACTCAGTTTAAAATAATCTTTTTGCCCAAGAGGCATCTTTAGGGATGGTATATTTTGGGTCTCCTACAGTCATTTTGCGGCAGTATATTCTGATCTTCAATACTTTCTTTCTTTATTATTATTATATATTTTTTGAGACAGAGTCTCACTCTGCCACCCAGGCTGGGGTGCAGTGGCTCAATCTCAGCTCACTGCAACCTCTGCCTCCTGGGTTCAAGCAGTTCTCCTGCCTCAGCCTCCCAAGTAGCTGGAACTACAAGTGCCCGCCACAACTCCCAGCAAATTTTTTTATTTTTAGTAGAGAGGGGGTTTCACCATATTGGCCAGGCTGGTCTCAAACTCCTAACCTGAGGTGATCCACCCACCTTGACCTTCCAAAATGCTGGGATTATAGGCACAAGTCACCACAACTGGCCTCTAGTCTTTAATACTTTCTAAAAGAAACTCTTAGACAGTAACTGCTCTACTCTACTCCAGCCATCTCCAGCCATGCTTGCAGAGATTGAGTGGACTTTACCCTCTCCCCAGCAGTAATGAAGCACCCCCTCTCTTTCCCTGCTCTCGGGTACTGTCCCAGAAGAGGCTGAGTAGAGAGCGAAGACTTTCATCACTGCCCTGCAGTAATGGGACTACCATCGCCACTACCCCCATGTTATCAGTAAAGGTCATGTGGGAGAAGTAACAAGGGACTCCCACTTGTCCCAGCCAAGATGGTAACAGTGGAAGCCTAGTACAGAGTCAGAATTGCTTTCCCTACCCAGCAGCTATAAGGAGCCCCTTCATCCCTTGGGTGTCAATGTAGCAGGACGAGCCTCAGACAAAACTCCTCAGACACTGAGTTAAAGAAGGAAGGGGTTATTCGGCCAGCGACATCGGCAAGACTCTTGTTTCAAGAGCCGAGCTCCCCGAGTGAGCAATTCCTGTCCATTTTAAGAGCTCACAACTCTAAGGGGGTGAGCGTGAGAGGGTCGTGATCGATTGAGCAAGCATGGGGTACGTGACTGGGAGCTGCATGCACCGGTAATTAGATCGGAACAAAACAGGATAGGGATTTTCACAGTGCTTTTCTATCCAATGTCTGTAATCTATAGATAATATAACCGATTAGGTCAGGGGTCGATCTTTAACTACCAGGCCTAGGGTGTGGGACTGGGCTGTCTGCTTGTGGATTTCAGTTCTGCCTTTTAGTTTTTACTTTTTCTTTCTTTGGAGGCAGAAATTGGGCCTAAGACAATATGAGGGATGGTCTCCTCCTTTACTCCCCGCCTTTGAGACTCTCACTCAATAGTGGGAGTTCTCACTTTCATTTTTACTACCTAAGTCTTCTTGCAAGACAGATCGATAGTGATTCATATAGTACACTTGTGCTGAAGCATTTTGGTGAACTAAGGTAGCGATGAAGCTTTTT